TCACTGGGGGCATCCACCTGGGCCTGGACGCGCGGGGCCTCTGGGAGCCATCCCGCACGCGCGTCAGCAAGGTCGAGATCCCGACGCTCCTCGTCCGTTGGAAACCTCACCCTTTTAAGCGCAAGGGGCCGCTCAGGGCCTTCCACCGCCGTAGGCTGCAGCTCATCGTCGCCCAACACCAGGTCGGCGCCCGAGGGGCCCACAGGACCCCGAGGGGAAGGGGTCGAGACTCCAAGCGGCCCGACCTGGGCGTCACCCGCGGCGTCCCCCGACGTTGAGCTCGGGGCCCGCAGGGCCGCAGCCTCGGCAACCCTACGCGTGCGGAGCCTCAGAGCCCTCGCGCCTTTGGCGGATAAGGCGTAGGCGGGGCAGCGGTCACACGCCCACTTTTGACCGCGCCTCCTCGCGAGGTGCGGGAACTCCACCACCGTCGGCGGCGGCGGCACTCCCGCCCACTGGCCGTCTTCAGCCGCTGCCCGCTTCGCCTTAGCAGCATCCCGCTCCAGGGCCCAGCGCCGTCGCAGCGCTAGGGGTCGCCGCCTCGGAATCTCCGCGCGGTCGGGCGGCGCGGTGCCGTCGAAAGTGACCCTGGAGGCGTTGGCAATCCATGGGGGGCGACTTGCCTCGCTCGCGCCAGGGCCTGCGTATACCTGCCCACTGCGCCTCGAGGAAGGTCATGAAGGTGTCGGCCCCTCTTGGCTGCTTGATCCGCCAGGTCGTTGCACCGCCTCTCCCAAGTGTCCTCCTTCGAGTGCCCCTTGACGTAGGTGGCTCGGACAGGGGGCGGGGTGCTGGAATCTGGCGCAGGGAGGCCTCCATGGTCACCAAGGTGGTGCCATATTTGTCTCCACAGGTCCGCATTGTCTCGCCTGGGACTGCAGCGCCAGCGACGTCCACGGGCCAAGCCGTCGAGCAAGGGCAGGTAATCTGTGTGGATGTGGAGCGGGGCAATCTCAATCGTGAGAACCTGCAGCACAGCGTGCAGCTCGGCGCGTGCCGAGCGAGGTCTGGCGAGGGCCAGGCAAAGCGTCAAACGCAGCTCCCGAGTAGCTCGCGTCTCCCACAACCACGAAGCACCAGCCTGCCCGTGCTGCAATCTTCCAGGGCACCAGCTTTTTGCACGAGCCGTCCGTGAAGATGCAACCCGTGACGACAAATGGCTCAGCACGCGCTCCATGATCGTAGTGCCATGCTCCAGTGTCGCATCTCGGTGGCAGCGCAGGCAGGAAGGAGTTGGGGAAAAAGGCCCCTGGAGTACAGCAGGTCCCCAGGTACCGTGGCCAGGGCAGCGTCCAACGTATCTTCATCTGCGGCTCGCTCATGCATGTCATCCAGGGTAGGACAGCACCAGTAGCGATGATGAAGAGTGCCCAGAGCATCCCAACACCGAAGGCAATGTGGGTTTGTGGCGTAGGCGCACTGGTAGAGTCTCTGCTGCGAGAAGTGGCCACCCAGCACCGCCTTGCGTAGAGCAGCTTCCGCCAAGGGATCCAACGCCCTTCTCTTGGCCTTCACCCCTTCCTGCAACAACCCACGTATAGGTGCTGGCCAGATGCCTGCAGGATCTTTGTGAAGCGGCCCAGGTATTTCAGGCATCACATCTGGCCTCTGCGCCCGCTGCTCCCAACCGACCACCTCGTAGTCCAGCAGAGCGGGCCACTTGGCGACGGAGGTAGCGGTGGCCCGAAGGTCGAGCACCTCACCAGTGCGAGTCAAAACGCTGTAACGCGAGGAGCACTTCCAGCCTAGGTGCAGTACCGATCGCGAGAAAGCACCATCAGGTCCTTTGACGAGCTTCCAGCTCGTGGGGGCGGGCGCAGACGCAATCTGAAAGTACTGAGTCCTCCTGGCAACCTGCATGGCATCAAGCGAACCTTCCTCAGACTGCATCATGGGCGCCCAGTTGTAGATCGGGCCGACCACTGCGACACACTCGGGGTGCTGCGATGGGGAGCGGCCCAGCTGCGCAGCAATCCAGTGTGGGCCTCCACTCGGTATCGCGTCCCAACCATGATTCATCATTGCCGTCATCCTGCGTAGCACATGCGGGGCCGCCCCTAATATGCTCAGTCCGTAGGTGATGGCAGGGCCGACTGCTGCTCGAGCGACCTTCTTGATTGCCCCGAGCGCCTGCAAACGCTTGAAGTGTCGGGTCCTCTTGCCTACCTGCCGACCATGCGCATGCGCCTCCTCAGTGCATGCCCATAGCAAGGTTTGCCTGCGCCAACTTCCAGGCCAAGCACTTCAAGCCAAGGTTGTGGGCGGATGCCGTACTTCTTCAGTCTACCTGCCACGATGGTCGGCATCTGCTCGTCGGAACCTGCAAGTACGGCCTTGGTCCTCGCAGTTGGGAGACCAAGGTCCGTCAAAGACTCGCAGAACAGCTTGATCACGTCGACCGACATCTGCTGGAGAAACTTGAGCTGTGCCTCGACCTGCAGGGCGAGGTCGTCAGCGAAGATGTCCAGCGACGACGAGAAACCTGCATCACTGTTGCCTTGGAGGGGGGGGGGGGGGGGGGGGGGGGGGGGGGGCGGCTGCTACAAAATCGCCCATGGCAGATAACACGAGGAGCTGAAAAAGGGCCATGGCGTATTTTCATCCAGGCAGCACGCCTTGGTCCACCACAACTGAGTAAGAGGTGGCCTGCAGCCACACCAGCCTCCGTGGCGCACGGTGCATGGCCAACGCACATGACCGTAGCTGCCGAGGGAAGGCGTGCTTTTTGGCTGCCTGAACAAGGCGACGCCAGCAAATGCGATCGAAACACTTCTCGATGTCCACGATGGCTGTGGTGACCCCTTTGTCGGAGGCCAAGGCCGCCTCAGCGCGAAGGAGGGCGCGAGCAGCCACGTCCTGAGTAGTCTTGCCCGCTGCCAAGGCAAAGTAGGGCCGATCGTGATCTTGAAGCCATTGCCGAAGTTGGACGCTCCGCACTTGCGTCCAAACACGATGCACCGCCTGCAGCAGCGCAATGGGTCGCCATCCTCCCTTGGGCTTGGTCAGAAGCACAATGTGGACGGCCATGGGCTGGGTCGGCCAGCGCTCCCAGTGCCCAGCCAGCCACATGATGTAGATCAGCAGGGAAAGGGTGGGGTCACTGAGGAGGCTCAGGGACCTGGGGGCCAGCTTGTCCGCGCCCTGGCCCGTGTGCCACTTGAACTGCTTCGCGGCCCGCCGCGCCTCGGCGACCTTTGGGGCGGGAAGGGCAGCTTTTGGGAGGCTCTGCAAAGCCTCCCGCATGTCGGCCATGTCGTCAGACTCTTCGATTTGCTGCACCTGATAGTCGTCCAGACCTTGCCCAGCACCATTCACCTGCACAAGCGTCGGGGGCCGTGACGCCGCCGTAGCCCGCCAGATGCTGGCCCATCGGTCCATCTGATCACCCGCAATGTGTTGCGCCGAAGATGTAGAACCACCGTGGCGATGGACCTGAGCGCGCGGCACGCCCGCGGGCTTGGTGAAAGAGAACAACGGCTTGATGCGACCCGCCTCGCAGTTAGCAGCCCAGGTGGCGAACGCCCTTCTCCTGTCCCGCATAGCTGCCGTCTCCAGTTCCTCGGCGTACACCCCGAGCCATGCGACCGCGGCGCGCGCGGCATCATGAGCAGCATCGCGAAAGTCTGCCGAGGAGGCATGTGGATAGCACTCAGCTGAGTAGGAGGCCCCACCAGGAGGGAAAAGGCCACCAGCCTCGCAATCGATGTCCACGTGCCGCGCGCCGCTCACACTTCCCACGTCCGTAGACTGGCCTCCCAACTGTCCCGGCTCCGTCCCGCTCATGGGTCTTTGTCGGTCCAGGGGCTCCGTTGGCGGGGCGGCGCGCGGCCTTGAAGAAGAAGACGAGGGCCTCGTCGATGTAGACAACGAGGCCGATGGCGCCAAAGTAGCTGGCGGTGCCGAAGGCGAGGCGCGAGGGTAGGAGCGCGCGACGGCGTCGGCCCCAGGTACTGCGGCGCCAGGACGACCACAACCATCACGATTACCGATGAGAACCTCAGGAGCAACAGGGGGAAAGGATACCGCGCTAACCCCAGGTGCTAGAGCGCCAGGGCGGTCAGCGGGCAGGGACGTGCAGGGCACATCGCCAGAGCCAAGCTTTCGCCTCTGAAGCGAAGGAGAAGACGATGGCCTCGTCGACGTAGAAACTGAGGCCGATGAAGTCACAATGACTGGTGGTGCCGAGGGATGGGCCCGAGGGTAGGAGGGCGTGACGACGGCGGCCCCAGGTACTGCTGCGCCAGGACGACCACGACCATTACGATGCCCGTAGAAAGGCTCAGGAGCACCAGGAGAAGGGGAGACCGCGCCAACCCCAGGTGGCAGTGCGCCAGGACGGCCAGCGGGTAGGTAGGTGCAGGGCCCCTCGCCAGAGCCAAGCTTACGCCTCTTGACCACAGGAGTAGACGCGGATGCCGTATTCGACGCAGCCGCTGGCGTCGACGTCACCACAGTGGATGAGGCCCTGGAGAATGGGAGTGGGGGCGTGACAGAATTACTCAACTTCAGCACGCTGGGGGGGCTCACACTGTCGCTGCCAGTCCCAACGGCCCCCACTGCAACCCCATGAGATAGAGAAGAGACAGGCAGCATCAGCCCCAGGACGACCAAATGCCGAGGAAAGAGACGGTGATCTCGCCATAGTCGCACCATAGGCCGTAGACCGCTGGTCAGGGAGCCAGCGGTCGGAGGCAACCACGATGTCACGCACCACGGGGAATGCATTACGCAGAATCCGCACGACCTTCTGGCAGTCAGTCCCCAGGTATGCCCGCTCCGCCCAAGGCGACACCAATCTTTCCAATCGCCGAAGGAGCTGGTCATCATCATGATCCCATCGGAGGAGGTCGTCAGCAGCCCGAGCCAGGCGCCGAGCCCGTCGTGCATCAGGAACCGCTGCAGGGTGTGGTCCAGTAGGAGCACCGCCAGCTTGCCTCCACGCGTAGTCGACCTTGGCAGCACGGCCACGGTAGAGGTCGCCGTCCGTGTCGATGCAGTACCTCGCGAGCAGCTCGTCCTCCGCGGCGTCCATGAAGGTGGCGTAGAGGGAGTCCAAGCGAACCTGCGCCTGCGCAGCAGTGACCGCCCCTCCCCGTGCCACGTCTGCCTCGCTGGTGTCCTGGTGGTCGACTGACGCCACAGGGATGCCGTCTTCGTCGGGCGCTGCCTTCGGGAGAGCCTCGGGGCCCGACAGCACCAGGAACTTGACGGCCTTGGCACGCACATCGAGGGGCACCTGCATGGGGTAGTGGGGCGCCGCAGGCCATCCTTGGACTGGCCTCGGCTGCGAGAGCGACCCAGCCAGCGACAGACTGGAGAGCCAGTCGTCGATGTTGGAGTAGTTCCCTTTCGCGCTCCTGCATGTGCCTCCAGACGCACGAGCAACCGTGGCGGCTGGGATGTAGCCCAAGAAACCATCAACACCCAGAGCGGGCGGTTCGCATTTGAAATCAGCTGCCAAGGTGAAAGGCCTGTTCCACCCGCGCAGCGCCGTGGCAATGTCGAAGAGGCGCGCCGTATTGACCCCGGCAGCCCAGTTTCCCACTTCGAAGTAGGCAGCAACCAATACCAACCCTCCTCTGATGCCGAAGTCGGCGTGGCAGGCGACAGCAGAACTCGGTAGCAAGCCGAAAGAGTCTGGGACAACCGACGTGCCAGGCATGGCCGTCACGCTGATGTGGCGTCTGATGAAGAGTCCGACCCCGGCGGGCGGCCGCCCAGACTCAAGTCGCCGACAAGGTGTGATGATAGCGCGCCACCCCTCGCGAGCTGCCCATCCCTGCGCACGCCGAAGCTCATCTCCATCAACACGGAGCTCCTGCGCCGCGACAGCCTTCACCGAGGGGCCGCATTTCTCCAAAAACCCACGGCGCGTCCCCCACGACGAACCGTTGTAGGTGACCAGCACCACGTTCTTCCTGGCTGCGCGGCGTCTGCCCCGCTGCTCACATCTGGCCTGCGTTCTCCCAAGCTGCAGCTGCCGCTCCTGAGGGGCGAAAAGCGGCTGACACTTTGGCTGCAGGCGCAAGGGGTGCCGCAGGCGCCGCTGCCTGGGCGGGAGCGGCGGCCGCTGGTGCTGCGGAGGTCGCGGAGGTGGCCTCCGCGTGCTGGCCAGCAGCGTCGGGTGCCACCCCTGTGGCTGCGGCCTGCAGGGCCTGCGCGGCAGGGAAGGCCATGCCCATGGCCTGGACCTGCGCGTTGATCGACTCGAGGAGCGCGATCCCCTGGCCGTTCTGCACCTGGGTGGGGGCCACGCTGAGAGCAACGTCTGCAGGCCGCACAGCGTGGTGGCCAAGCCCTGCAGGTCCACTCCGCCTGGCCCGCCGCGGCCGCTGCCATGGCGCGAGTGGCCTGGGCGGCCTCCTGCTCCAGCACTTCGATCTCGCCGTCGATCGTGGTCTGCAGCTTGTGCAAAGTGGCGACGCGCTCCTCAGCTTCGGCAAGGTCGGTACCCGACTTGGCCCTTCGCTCTCGAGCATCCGTGAGCTTGGCCTGCAGCTCGCGGAGGACGACGTCGGGCGGCTGCGCCTGCCTCTCAGCGAGCTCCAGGTCGGCGAGCTCGGCCTTGGCGGCAACGATGAGGGGGTGGTCATCGGCGTACTGCAGCCCTTGCAGCGCCTTGAGCCCTTGTCTTGCCCGATCCACCGCTGTGGTGGCCGTGCCAGCGGGCCGAGGACCACCAGCAGCGCGATCGCCAGGAGCGCCCGAGCGGCGGCGCCTCCGAGCAGAAGTCGACCGCGGCGGGTGGCCTCCATCACTGCCTGGCGGCGCCTCGGCGGGTGGTGTGCGGCCAGCACGGTCTCGTCCACATTTCCAGCACGTCTGACGGCTGCCGAAGTTGGTCCTGAAACCACATGCCCGCGTGGCCACGCAGGCCCACTGGGGCTCGGCGGCGCCGCCTGGCGCGGCTCGCCACGGCGGCGTGGCCATGGGCCCTGCCGGCGGACAGTCGCCGTGGTGGCCCGACAGCAGCGCCCTGGCGGCGGCGAGGCGCAGCAGCCGCCGAGCGCTGGCTCGCCGCCGCCGCAGCCGGCCGCCTATGCCAGGCAGGTGAGGGCGGCCGCTCACGGCGCGCTCCGCCGCCGCCACCGCCGCCGTCCGTGATTGCACCTCGCCCCCCCGAGGGGGGCGGGAGGCTGGGGGGTCGCGCGCACGGGCCGCCCCTGGCCCGCAGCGAGCCACCTTAATTGAGGAGGAGGAGGAGGAGGAGGAGGAGGAGGAGGAGGAGGAGGATGAGGAGGAGGAGGAAGGAGGAGGAAAAAAAAGGAAAAAAAAAAGGGGAGAGGAGGAGGAGAGGAGGAGGAAGAGGAGGAGGAGGACGAGGAGGAGGAGGAGGAGAGGATGAGGAGGAGGGAGAGGAGGAGGAGAGGAGGAGGAGGAGGAGGAGGAAGGAGGAGGAGGAGTAGAGGAGGAGGATGGGAGGAGGAGGTAGGAGGAGGAGGAGAGGAGGAGAGGAGGAGGAGGAGGAGGACGAGGAGAGGAGGAGGGAGGAGGCAGGAGGAGGAGGAGGAGGGGATGAGGAGGAGGGGCGGGTGAGGAGGAGGAGGAGGAGAGGAGAGGAGGAGGAGGGGAGGAGAGGAGGAGGGAGGAGGAGGGAGGAGGAGGATGGGAGGAGGAAGAGGAGGAGAGAGAGGAAAGGAAGAAGAAGAAGAATAGAAGAAGAAGGAAGATAAGAAGAAAAGAAGAAGAAGAAGAAGAAGATAGAAGAAGAAACCCTGAAGCGAGACAAAGACAAGGCCGAAGACGAGACGAAGAGAAGAAAGAAGAAGAAGAAGAAAAAAGAAGGAAAAAGAAAGAAGAGAAGAAGAAGAGAAGAAGAGGAGAGGGGAGGAGGGGAGCAGGAGGAAGAGGGGAGAGGAGGAGGGGAGGAGGAGGAGGAGGGGAGGAGGAGGAGGAGGTAGAGGAGGAGGATGAGCGGGTGAGGTGAATGCAGTAGGAGGATAGAGGAGAGAGGAGGAGGAGAGGAGGAGTAGGAGGAGGAGGAGGAGGAGTAGGAGGAGGAGGAAGATCCATACCTCCTCGCGTTGTGACAGGAAGGGGGTGTTTTCGCTATGGTCGGGTTCTGGGAGCCCTTCCTGGGCCTCGGGGCCGTTAAAAAAGGGATCAGGAGGAAAACCCGGTCCCAGGGAAAGGGTCCAGACCTGTGGGCGTCGACGTTGTGAACAAATCACGACGTCGGGGGTCTGGGAACGAGGGGTGCCAGGAGGAGGAGGAGGAGGAGGAGGAGGAGGAGGAGGTGGAGGAGGAGGAGGGCGAGGAGGAGGAGGAGGAGGGCGAGGAGGAGGAGGAGGAGGAGGAGGAGGAGGAGGAGCGGACAGGGCTAGGACGAGAATAAGAATTCGTTCCAGAGCGTTCCATGACGCTCCAAGAGCGTTCCGGAACGCTCTGCGAAGGCTGTCACGCCCGAGACATCCTCCAGAGCCGCCGGATCTGAGAGATTCCCGACCTTCCCTCGCCCGATGTCAATCTCGTCCGGGCGTCGTCTTAGAGCGTCCTGGCTTAGTTCTAGAGGAGGAGGAGGGGAAGAGGAAGAGAAGGAGGAGGCGGGGGGAGTAGTAGTAGAAGTAGTAGTGGAAGAAGAAAAAGTAGAAGTAGCAGTAGCAGTAGCAGTAGCAGTAGCAGCAGTAGTAGTAGTAGTAGTAGTAGTAGTAGTAGTAGTAGTAGTAGTAGTAGTAGTAGATAGTAGT